CCCCCCCCCCCCCGCGCGCGCCCCTCCTTGGCTCGCTGGCCGCCGCTCGCTGCCGAGCAAGGTGCAAGCAAAGGACTACGACCTCGCCTCGTCGCTGGAGAGGGAGCTCGCCGCCTTCATGCGGAAAAACGGCATGGGCTTCGAGGGCGACCAGTAGGCCGGCTGTCGTCTCGGCATCAACCGGGTCACACACACGCTCGTGACTCCCCCTCACGAGCCCTTCACGGGGTCCCAGATCATGGCCTTCAGAAGCTCCAACCGCATTGAGGCTGACGACTTTTTTAGTTTGTCAGCCGGTTTTGTGGCGTGGTCGATGCAAATACTTCAAACGCACGCGCACGGCCGGCAGCTCGTGGTGACTGGCTGGCTTTCAAGGCTACCGAACTCGATGGTACACCCAGGCCTGGCGCTGCCGCTCCTCCCTTCCGAGTTGTCTTTTGAACGGTTACACCTAGTGACTGGCCCAACTCTGGTGTCGAACTGAATAGGGCGGCGGCGGGGGCGACGCGGTACGCTTTTCGGTGGGGATATTCTGAACCCTGCATGAGGCTTGTGCAGTCCCCTTGTTTTGGTGTGTACAAAGTGATAATGTAATATCGTATATGGAGGCGCCGACAACGAAGACCACGCCCGTTCGCGCAACGTAGGGCTGGAGACTTGTCGCACCCCGCGTGGTTGCGAGCCATGAAACTGAAGGCGTACGTAGATGCGAGGCAAGCGTGACTGCGCGTGCCTAGTGCCACGAGGAAGGACGGCCGAGGGACCGTCTCTCGTGCGGGAAATCACGACCAGCCTTGTGTTGGCGTCTGGCACTATTGTGTGTGTAGCAACGGGCCGGGGGGAGGCTATGTGCTTCTTCCAGAAAGTGTGTGGGAGAGAGAGAAGACTCTGTTGTTGTAGAAGGGAAGGTAGAGGGAAGACCGCGTAGTTTTTCACGCTCCAGCAACTTACTCTCTTCGGAGGCAGGCGATGGCAATTGATACATGAATGCCGGCGTGCGAATGGTACAAACAGAAATGCTGACGATGATGAGGACGAGACATCCGACGATCATCACGTCGGTTTTCGAGTTGGCTGCCGCGTGTTGCCGATGTATTTTGGGGACACAAAACTTGTTTTTGGTTTTGATTGGGCAGAACGGGGGCCCCACGATGGGAACGTATATTATGCTGGGCTTGGGGTTAGGGTTAGTGAGTGCATGCGTAGCTCCACTGCGGGTACGGCTGTACGTGAACCGGGATGGCGAACTCTTGCGTGCGTTTTCTCGAGTACAGAACTTCAGTAAAACCCACGTTCTATATCACTTAAAAACTGGGTGTAACACCGCCACGCTTGGTTGCACGCTTGGTTGCCGGTGCGAGGTTAGTTTCAGGTGTTGGAGGAGGAAACCGGAAAAGAACCTGAACCTGTGGCATCAACCGCCGTGTTGTTGCCCACTGATTGGGGAAAGCATCCAAGCAAAGCAGGGATAACCTAATTATATAGCTAAATATGTATAGTCTATGCACACCGTAAAAAAGCCTCGTAACTGTCTGCGGGAGGTGCGTTGAATCGATTCGACCGACAACAAAAAAGTCTACTTCTTTCCGGCTTTGGTGCTGTGGTGGACCGCACGCTTTGGCTGCGGCCACATCGACGTTTCAATCGAGCTTCTGCCCTCTTCCAGAGCTGTGGATAGTAGGGTGCAGTTGTCTGACAACCCCTGGAGCGAGACTTTCTTCGAAGAACCGTCCATCTACGGCCTGTTACTCTTGCGCCCTTCATCATCCGGTGCCCAAAGGCAGGCAGTGTTCAGAGATCTTCCGTCGACTGTCTACGACGTCCGTTTACGTTAGCTGCTGGCGTACGCACCCGGCCAATGAACCGCTCGCGCCACGGAGCGTTGTTGTTGCATCCGGTGCGGTCGCGCGGGGCGGGGAAAACAATCTGTCGTTCCAACGCTCTCCAAAGTCATCGACTAGAATGCTCATCCTGCTGTTAATCAAGGCGTGTTGTTGGGCACCGGCGGCATGTCATACACATGGTGGAGCCTTGCTTGACCTAGGTGTGTGTGTGCAGTCACGCTTCCTACCTGGGAAACTGAAACACGGCAACAGTTCTTGTGCTCGAAGAACACCAGACGATTATTTGCGTGTTGTTTTTTCATTTCATTGTTTTCTAGAAGCGAACAGTACACAAAACTAAAACTTGAATACAAGACATGTTCTTCTACAACGTTCTCTCCGAACACACCACACCTCTCTGTTGCTACTGCTGCCGTGCCATGCAAAACGTGATAAAATAGTCAAATCAAGGACAACACCACCACCAACAGACAACACAAGACACCCCTCCCCCCTCCCCCCGCTGACTGACTGCACAAAGCACGGAAAACACTGAGAACTTCTCAATCAAGAGGAGCCAAAACACTGAAACTATGTACTTGAAGTATACCCGATGCGTGCCACTCACACACCGAAAAACCAAGAAAAAAAAAAGAAACGAATGCCCCCTAAGGCCACTTGTTACGCTGTCTCTTTTTGGGCTGTCCCTTTTCTCAAAAAGGGACAAAGTTGCCCAAAAAGGGACAGGATGGGGTGATCTTTTTTCGCTGTCCCTTTTCTGGAGGTTCAAAAACGCAAAAAAAGACCACGTAACAAGTGGTTTTTGGTCAGTTGTCCCTTTCTGAGAAAAGGGACAGCCCAAAAAGAGACAGCGTAACAAGTGGCCTTCAATGCTGACCATAGTACTCGTTTGCCGTTCATATACACTTGTAGGATGCATGGTGACCACCGGCGTGTTTCCTGCCTCAATACCGTGCGCTCCGGAGACTTGTGCCGTCCCTGCTGTGGTGTGACGTCATCGAACTCCGAACGAACGCCAACACCTTTCGTGCGAGCCTACAAAAAATGGCATGCATGTTCCTTTACGTCCCTAAAAACCAAAATAGCAGCAGGAATGACGTAACATACTGCTATATTGTTGTGTTTTCTCCACTCAAATTTGCAACCAAGCCAAAAGCGTCTAAATTTCGTAGCAGATGGTAGACCCGGACAGGGTTACTGAGCAGAGCGCATTCATCCGAAGTCGCCGCAATTAGGAAGGATGTTTATTCACCACGCGGCGGTGCAAAACCGCACAAGCACAGCTAGTCCACGTATCCGATGTGCGCAGATACGCTGTTTAACGTCGTCTCACAAAAAAAGACATACGGAGAGTAATCGACAAAAATGACAACAGCAAAGCTTTGCCAAGGACCGGAACCAATGATCGCTTTGGTTTGGGCGGCCGTCTACGGACAGCAAGAAACACCAAGAAAAAAAATACAGACACTACAAAATATCACCACCATCCATATATCATTCCAGGGTGTGATATGCGATGCACCAAAAACAATCTGTACCCCTTCACGCACGTAGTGTGCAAATCGACGTGAGCTGATTTACAGAGACAAGTGCCCACTCGACTCTCAAGCGCGAAGCAAGACGCCACAAATAAAAAAAAGGCGACAAAAAAAAGCAAACTTGCCGCTTCGTCCCTGCTGCTGGATGCATCTGCTCGTTGGTCGTCGTCGTCGTCGTTAACGAGCTGAGCTAGGCACGGGCAAAGAAAACGCTTAGCCGACTGCTGTTGGGCGTTGCGCGAGCTCTGCAAGGCCCGAAAGTCTTGTGTTCGTCGCCGTTGCTTGCGCCGCCGCCATAGCCATGACTGTGTCGCCAGTGCAACCAGCGGCCCTGGGTTTGCTACCATTACTGCGTAGCAGGAGAGCTGAAACCTCGACTCTATTATTGTTGCTGTGGTTGTGTTGGTGGCGGCGGCGGCGGCGGCGGCGGTTGTTGTCGTTGCTGCTGCTGCTGCTGCTGCTGCTGCTGCTGCGGCTGCGGCTGCGCAGTGGCGAGCGTGGATGAGGATCGGTTAAGGGCGCGCAGCTGTTGCAGCGGCGGTGGGAGGTGTTCAGGATCGCAAACCTTCTCGTTTGCAAAGACAGGGTGCGCGGGGTGAAAAGCAGCAAGCAACGGTTGCAACGAGGGGGGGGATGTGAGCATTCGATATTACATCGTGTCACGCGCGTTGCAGCCCACACCGGAGAAAGTCCTTCTTAAATGCCATCCTAGGTTTTGAGAGTATCACAATCTTACTACCATGATTGTCGTTTTCCTGAGGGTTTCAACCCCAATCTCGAACAATCTCCAGGTGTTCTTATGGGTGGTTGGGAGGATCCAGAAATTTCGCGACAACCTGCAGCTATCTGTAGACATTTCTCATCATCGTGGCCCAAACAGCGATTTAATCCTTTGCCCCGTGAGTTCAAGAACCCAATAAAAGAGCCATTCTCCTGACATACAAAAAAGTTGTTTCCCGGTGTGGACAGTGTAACGGTTCTTTGGTTGCCCCGCTGTGGAACCGCCATAAGCTAGTGCTGTAGTCAAGAGAGGATCGAGATTGATCGTTTCAATGGTGCGGCAAATATTGCCAGCGCATTTAAGTTCTGAGAGACATCGCCACAAATTCCTTTGAGAGAGAGGCAGGCAGGGGTGCTCGGGACTTGATAACGTCAACTGTCGATTCGCGTGGTTCCGAGCCATCGTACAAGGAGACACAACACAAGAGGATGCACACCACAGCAGCCAAACTGATGCCTTCTTGGAAAGCTCTCGACGGGACGGTCTCCAATGCCGCCATTTCTCCGGGACAGCATCCATTCGCCGTTCTTGCTGCAGATTAATCGAGCCTTGAAAATCGGTCCAAAATGGGGTTTTGCTATCTTGCGCAACCTACGGCATGCACATCGCCGCCAGGCTCTACTACTCTCAAGAAAAAACACGGCCGCAAACCAAAGCGTTCTCAGGTGTCCGAAATCTGACGGTGTCTGGCTAGGCAAATCGCCCCTGTTCTTGTGGTCGTGCCCCTGTCTGTGAGGAGCGCGGGGGCCACTACGGCGACAAAGCTTGGTGCGACCGTGGCCACAGCGGAACGGGGACTGGAAAATCATACGGTGTGCACGTCGTATTCTCCAGCCACCGAGGAAAGCCTTTAATGTTGAAAGAGACAACGATATGTATATTGTGCCGACTGTGCGTACAAGACGAGCCACGTTGCCACCCAAGGTGAGTTGTTTCAAGTCGGGCGTTCTTTCCAAGGAAACTTCTCCAACCACCTTGTAATTTCTCCACCTCCAACTCAAACAAGTGTCGTACGGCTGCAAAAAAAGGGCGTGATCCTTGCTCGTGGCCATCAAGTGGGGAAAACAACTAGAGAAATTTTGACGTTGCAGGATACACGACGAACATAGAATAGCAACGGCAGCAACAGCAACAAGCGCTGCAGCGCGGCTCACCTTACATCCCGTCGACTCCGGGCACTGGATGAGGTGATGCAGGAGAGACGTGCAAGGCTCGCACCACGGCATCGGACAGGGGTCTCCGTTCCTGGTCTTCCCGTCGCAATCTCGCAAGTGCAGCATCAGAAACTTGACGCTTCGGCACACCTGTGCATGCACCCAGCAAGAGTCCAAAACAAAAAAGCCAGAGAAACGAAAAATAAACGAAAAAAAATCAAGATACCGCTTGCTCGTGGGTAGCAAAAAACTCGGACGCTTCGGCGCACCCTATGCATATATGTAGAGCAAGGAACGAGTTAGCCAGAGGGGAAAACTAGGGCGCTCGCAGGTTTGGCTTTCAAAACACTGGACGCTCCGGCAAACAAATTGTTTCGTGAAAACCACCTTTCTGCACCAACCGCAGTAGGTGATGAGATCCCACGCTGCTACCGCCATGCCTGGTAACTTGAAAGAGAGAGAAAATCACCCCTGCAATCTTGCAAAGGCAAGGATGATGGCCAGCTTTTGGCTCATCCTTGTGAAACGTAGCCTGGGCCGGCGAAAACCCGGCATGTCATCGCTCCGTCCAGGCATTCTAGGGATGCGAGGTCAATGGTCTACCGACTGCGGCATGCGTTTACATTAGTACCGAAAGAGGCGGATAGATGCCCCCCCCCACGAGAGCCTGGTCCGGTGAGAACCCGGCGTGCTCCGTCTCGGCTTTGTAGGGATGCGAGGTCGATGGTATAACGACTACGGCATGCACGACTTTGAGTAGACCCCCCCCCCCAGATCGTTTTTCAAAGCTCGACTTCTCCACAACCTAGCTCGTGACAACACCAAAACAGGGTGGTCTTGGCAACATATCTCATGGACGTCTTTCCTTGGAGGTATCGGGCTACAACTCACTCGCTTGTGGCGCAGTCGAGCCTTGAAAGATGGCCTACGGGGGTTTACAACGTCTTCCGGCACACCCCCCCGCAACCGTGTTGTTGTTGTTGTTGTTAGCAGTATTGAAAACCGTTCCGTTCTCTCGACCCAGTGCCTTCTTCTGTTCGTACTAATCTAACACTTGACGCGGTCGATTCCCGTGGTCAGAGGCTAAATTACCCAAAAACGGTACACGAAAAAAAAATGGACCCGAAGAACTTTGGACACCGAAAATACGGAAATACATGCACCCTTCGTATACTGTGTACCTCCGCCAGCCTAGCGGAGCGGTGATTCCCCGGGCAGTGCCGGGCGTGGCACATAAGCACCAGCAGCTTCGCGGCCTGGTCCGAGTCCAGAATAGTTCCAAGTCCGCTGCCGTCGCCGCCCGACATGCTTCCTCCCGCGGAAAACCCTTGCCGCTGAAGGTGGAGGGAAACGGTGTGTGGATGGACGGGTAAATAGGTGGACGGGTGGGCAAGCGGGTGGCGTTGGATATCCCTTTAACCATCGCATCTACAGAAAAGCCGAAATCCAACCATTAGGCTTGTCACCCTTGCCGCCGAAGGTGGAGTGAATAGTGGTTGGATGGATGGGTAAATAGGTGCCGTTGGTTTTCCCTCACCATCTCATCTATAGGAAAGCCGATTTCAAACCATTAGACTTGGTCAGTGGGCAAGCGATGCTGACTATCGTCTAAAGGTTTGATGTTGGCTTCTGTCATATCGAAGCAAGAAAAAATATCATGCCCCCTGAGAGCAACGGAAGAGCGCTATGATTTGGAGGCGCTTGGCGCTGAGAGCCCTCCACGCACGCTCGGCTGCAGAACTAACCCACTGCCGACAGGCGCCTTTCTGAACCTGGTTCAGACGACTGTGCGGAACCACGTGTTTGTCACGCATCGCAGCAGTTGCTATTGTCGCTGTCATGGTTTTCACGATCGCGTGTCTACGCAACATAGTCCCGCGGTCACGCAAGTGTCGAATACGACAGAGCGGGGTGGGGGGAGAGACACACAGACAGAGAGAGAGAAACACACACACAGAGACAGAGAGAACGAGACACACAGACAGAGAGAGAGAACGAGACACACAGAGACAGAGAGAACGAGACACACAGACAGAGAGAGAGAAACACACACACAAAGAAAGCCCCAGCAAAACACGCAGACCGCAAAAGAGTACCCCGAAGAGAGCACACACACTGAAAAGCGTTCGGAAGAGGCGGCAGAAAACGCAAGCGTACCAGCAGCACAGGTGGTTACCATACCTCGTCCCCCGAGTACTCGTCGCCAGAGTTGTCGTCGCTCGTTTCCCCGTCCCAGTCCATGCAGCTGCCGTCGCCGTCAGAAGCATTCTGCAAGGCAAGCAGGCCGCACCGCGAAGGCACCACATAAGGTTGGGTCTAGCAACACACGCGACTACCAGAACGTGCAAGGTGTGGAATGTTAAGGACGACTGTCAACATGCACGGGTGTTGGTGTAGCCAATGCTGCTGCCGTGCGCTTCATGGATATTAACCTCAAGGGACACAAAACGCAGATGCCGTCCACCTAGCTGCACGTACAGAATGGGTAAGCGTTAACGTCACATCCTACACCTGGTGGTAATCAATCAGCAGAGCCCGTGGGGGTATACATGCAGCACCGGCCACTACTATTGTTCATCCCGCACGGTAGGCGGAGGCAAGCCGACCAGTATAAACGAAGCACAAGATAGCAGGATGAAGTTGTAGACTGACTCAACCAAGACACATGCCAGACCGTGCTACACGGTTCCCAACAGCAGCAGACGGCTTCAAGTCCGCGTCAAAATCAGAGGTGACGTGGGGGCCACATGTCTGAGCATTTGTTTGTCGCGACCAGGGGTGGATCACACGCGAGTTCAGACCCCCCCGAAAAAAAAAGGGAGCAGTGACCCCCTTCCCCCCCCCCCCTGTTTTTCATTTTTTTCCTTTTTAACAGTTGAAAACGCGAAAGTAAGCAAGAGTAGAAGGTTATTGGCCACCTTACACACCAACACGCAAACGGAAACGAAGTATAAATATCGACACAGCAATCCTTTTGGTCAACTGTGCGATGCACATGAAGGTTGGGGACTCGTGGTGAGATAACCGTAAAACATTACCGGTTCCCATGGGGCGGTGGGAATCTGGTCAGACACTATCCTGAATACTCCGCGAGGAGAGGGGTGGATAATGCAAGACAAAATGTCAGACCTAACATACTCAAGGACCTTGTTTTCAAATGACCGACCAAATGACCCAAAAGAGAAGGAGCACCAAGGGGTACGTAGATATCTTGAAGCTTGAAGGATAGACGCCGGTACAAAGTGTGGGGGGATTGTTGGTCAAGCGTTCGGCAGCGAAGGTCTACTCGGGAGCGTTAGTGGGGTAGCTACCCATGGTGTACCGTACAAACGTTGATGACCGTAACTCATTTATCAACCCTGGATCGACTTAGACCGCCATCAGGGAAGATAGTGCTCTCTGGCGTCTACGAGGAGGAGATCTTTATGTTTGTATGTCATAAAAATCAAGGAAAATACGGACATCCCGATGTGTGAGTGAGACCTTCTGTTATGCAAGCCACCCTTGAACCCTACATGGGGAAAATGACCTCCCCGGAGGAAAGTACCCAGTACAGCAGCTGGGGCAAGTAGAGAGAAGATACGGTCGTGGGACGCTTGGGTTGGTTACCATGCAGATCGCCTGGCACAAACTTGGGGTACTTGTGCTAAGGGTGTTGAACTTGGCTCCAGGCTATGAGCCCATGTTGGAGGCACTTTTAAGTGTCGGAGAGCCGGCAAAAGAATTGAAAGACACCAGACCCTCAACAAGTACTAGGATTGGGAAGTCCCAGTAATTTGAAAGCATCCCACTTCAAACAAAAACAACGAGATGGTCTCGAAAGAGATAAGGAAGGAGACGACAAGGCACCAAGGGTGGAGAAGGAGAGAATGGAAAGGTGCAGTACTGGTAGTGTTGATATTTGGGGTCAATAACGACATGACAAGGTTGGAGTTCAATAGTCGTGAAGAAGTAGGATTATATTGCTTCGCACGGGGGGGGGTAGAAAGGGAAGGAAAACACTTTAGAATCACGTTTGGAAGGAGAGTAAGCGCAGAATGGGAAAGACTGGAAGTAGACAAGTGTCGGCGTGGGTGAGGAGACTAGGTTGGAGGGTGTGCATAGCAAATAGGATCCAGGAAGTAAGGCGTAGCCCAAGGCTGGCTGAAAACGAAGGGGGGTAGGAGATTCGAAAGGATCAAAAGGGAAAGCAAGCCAAAGTAGGGGAAGGGGGGAGCAGCGAAAGGATAAGGCAGAAGGGAAGGCGAACGAGGGACAGAAGGAATTCTGAAAGGCACGGGGAAGTAGAAACTAGGAGTAAGGAAATCAGACTAGGGTCTTGGAATGTATGCGGGTTTGCCACAGATGAGCGTAAAAGACTCGAAATTGCCGAGCAGGCAGCCGAAAAAGACCTGGACATAGTCGGAGTCCAAGAGTCGTGGGAGAAGGACGGGGGAGAAATAGGAAAAGAAGTGGGAAGCTACACATGGATAGGTCAAATGAGGAGAGGACAGAAAATCAAGAGTAGAGGGGAGGGGGGAG